TGGGACAAGTATAAGGGGAACTAGGGGGCAGGACACAAGAGTAAGAGGGACTTTAACAAATGCAATCAGTGTAACCTAATTCTTTGTACCCTCAATGAACCCCAAATAATAATAATAAAAAAATTAAAGTACCTCCTATACATCTTTCATCCAAGGGCTACAAAACCCAATTGGATCTCACTAGCTACCTCATCTTCTTCCAATCCATCCTGCAGAACAGAGGCTCTGCTAAACTTCCTAGCATCCAGGCCAGGCGAAGCAGCACATGCCAGAATCCTAGCTCCCTGGGAGGCTGAGGTGGGTGGACTGCTTGACCTTGGGAGTTTAGGACCAGTCTCAGCAAGATGGAGACCCCATCTCTACTAAAAACAGAAAAACTAGCTGGGCATCCTGGTGAGTGCCTGTAGTCTCAGCTACTCAGGAGGCTGAGGCAAGAGAATCACTTGAGCCCAAAGAGTTTAAGGTTGCTGTGAGTTATGACACCACAGCACTCTAGCACTCTACCCAGCTAGACAAAGTGAGACTCCGTCTCAAAAAAAAAAAAAAATTCCTAGCATCCCACTGGAATCATATCCTACTCTTTGCAGATCTTCTCACTGATCTCTAATACTCAAAATTAAACAGAATTGACACAGCTTAGATAGACAGAAAGAGAGCCTCAGACCATCTCCTCCATAATTAGCCCAATTGGGGGAAAGGGCTACACCAGTAGCTTAACACTATCTCCTTGATTTGATTTTCTTTCATGCTTATGCACAGTGCTGGTGGGAATATAGCATCTCCCCGTGGGTGTTCAAGGAGCAAAAAATGCCTGAGGATCACCAACCTTGCCCAATCCTTATCCTACAGATGAGGAAGGAGTATCAGCTGATTCTCTAAGTACTGCCAAACACAGCATACAATGGAGTTCAGTTTATTTCCTTCCCATACTCAGGCTCTTACTAAACCATGTTGAGACTGCCCACACTTTACTATCAGTCTCTGCTGCTCCCTTCCTCTCTCCTCCCTCAATCTGTCTGTCCTCGCTCTGCACATGCCCATCCAGGAAGCATACACCCACATCAACCCCCCAATCTTGCCCTCTTTTAAATCTTCACTACACTTTGTACCTCACTTGTAGCAATCAGGAATTACACACATACTGAACAGATATTTGGTTGACACTGGTGGGAATAAACACTGCCAAACCAGTAACAAATTCTGGTTCAGGTAAATCTACAGTTTATTCATGGCAACTCTCCCACTGATCTTCACTGTTATATCTTAGACGAGATAAAACAGTAACTCTGCCAGGATAACGCCAGGGTTTTTACTTTCTAAAATCATCATTGGTTTCAAATTTCAAGATTCAAAATTCTAGGTAAGTATTCTCAGACATCTCACACAAGACTAAGACTGAAATACAAGAGCCATTCTGTTTCAAGTACCAGGTATAATTTAAATTACCAAATGATTAATTTCTAAGTGCTGTCAGAACTTTACCAAATGCCAAATTCAAAATGAATTTTCTATACAAACTTTCTCAACGCATTGGCTATGTCATAAAATTTATAGGCTGAAATAATCCTAAATTTAAAAAATAAATATAAATTCATAAAAGTTTTAATTAGCCAAATGCCTCCAACTTAAGCAAAAGTAGATGATTTTAATATTGCATTAATAAGTTGCCATTCCTACAGTAGTATTTACCATGTGACCACCTTAGGTACCCATTTAAAATTTTTCTCCATAAAAGGAAAACATTTAATCTCCAATGAATAAACTTGTAAAACTCTATGACTTTCATAATATCACAACCAATGTCTCTGGATCATCAACAGGTGCATTACCTACAAAGCACTCAAGATGTGAGTAGATGCATGGGTGTTTTCCTTACACTATAAATTTATCATGTTAATACTGACAACATTCTAAATGACAAAAATTAATCAAATTATTCTAAATTATCAATAAAGCAAATTCCTCTTTTTGCCTTGACAGTACTACAGGATTCAAGGCCACCAATCATATTCCTTTCACACATATTTCTTTATGTGTTCTTGGAGTATCTTAAAACAAGTCCTAAAACTTCTTTTTCTTCCAAAGCATACACATGTACAACATTCACCTGACAGCCTTCCTCCCAGGAAGTAGACAATAAAATTAATGAAACTAACACTTAGCCTGAACAACTCACTGTCATGCATTGTTACTCATTCTAGGCAAGTGGACATACTCTAAACGTTCAGAACACAAAATGTCACATCCATTTCACTATACCTTAAGAAATAATGTATTTCAAAAGGTACAACCTCCAAGTTAACACCACAGCCACTAAAGAAAGGAACATGCCTGGCAAACAATGTGAAAAAGCAGCTCAAAACATAGTAACACTCACTGGTCAAACTGCCTTTCAAAACCTAATCAGACCAATTTTTATCTTCCTAAATCCAAAATATTTAGAAGTTATGCCACCCAGTCTAAGAATTACTAAACCTTCATTTATTACAAGTTCTCACCTACTAACAATAATCTACCCAGTCATCCTTTGAGGAGCACCTGCTATGTAGGAGCTGCAGGGAGAGTAAGATCAACACCTATCCCTAAGGAATCAATAAATTCATATAAGACCATTAAGTCGGCTCAGCGCCTGTGGCTCAAGCGGCTAAGACGCCAGCCACATACACCTAAGGTGGTGGGTTCGAATCCCCAGCCCAGGCCCACCAAACAACAATGATGGCTGCAACCAAAAAATGGCCGGGCGTTGTGGCAGGCGCCTGTAGTCCCAGCTACTTGGGAGGCTGAGG